CTCACGGAGATTAGGAGACAGGTTTCAACATGTTGTCGACATGACTAGGAGCAAACTGGAGGTACGGCGCGTGTGAACATGACTGTAGTACCTGGGTGGCTCCATTCTCGTGCAACGACCTTGGTACTTTCAAATTCACCACCGCGCCGTGAACGCAAGTCGTATCCTGGCCTTCCATCGAGAGGAGAAGGCAATTAATCCCAAGTGTCAAATACGCGCCTGGTTGATTACCATCGGTCCTACAATTTCTTCACAATGCTCCTCAAACGAATGGCCTTCGGTCTATCTGAAAGCAGAGCCATTTAAATTAGCTCCACACAGCCATTTATTTTGAATATTTTTGTCCTCCCCACCCAGTTGTGGGTTCCATTGAACCACTAGAAATGTGAATAGGGCATCACTTCTTCGCGTAGTTCTCTGAGTCTTCAATTTGACAGTAATGCTTCATAGCTAGCGTCAAGGAATTGATGTGCACAGTTTTGAGTGACTGCTTTTTTCTTCATTTTGTAGTCTCTGGAGGCTGTGTGCACCCATGGTGCTTTTTTGATGCAAAATGCCCCATCAGAGACTGCGGAACTCCTAGATGGACTCTGTTTTAATCCCAGTAAGTTAGCCGTTTTGGCAGCCCTCTAGCAATCTCGTTCTCATGTCGTGTTTTATTTCTTTTCCTTTTTATCTGTTACAGAGGGTGGACGTATAAGCGCTTCGCATTTCATCAAAATATTCGTTAATAATCGCCTCGGCCTGATGAAATTTCTCGAGCGCTACATTGAGGTAAGGTGAGGGGGAGGAAAAGTGGATCATTTCCCAAACCTTTTATGCTCATGCTTTCTTTGGTCCCATCAGATTCATCATCTTTTCTGTTTGGTAGTTAACAGTAACCACTCCGAGCCCCTTAATGATCGAGGCCTATTTGGCGTATCGGCAAGTCGTGGAAAATAAAGATTCCACGTAGTTAAATGTATATGGTTACAATATCTTTCCCACTCTTCTCTTGAGTGCTATCTCTGTGATATCATCCCGTTATTTCTTTGTAAGACCTTGAATTACTCCTGAAGGAGGTAATGAGACATACGATTTGGGATACAAAAGATTGGATGGCTGCGGGGAGGGCGAGAGCGTTACGACACCATGTTCTCAACTGAATCCGTCATCTCTTTTTCAACAGTAGTTTTGGGCGCTTCCGGTGATCATTCCTCAACATGTGGCTGGTAATTTGAAAGCAATCTCCCAGTATTCAGGATCGAGAGTCACACGTTAAGTTACCATAGAGGTGACAAGACATTAGGTCACAAAGCCTATTATGCAGACGGCTCAACACGTACGACCTCTTCTTTGCGACCTTGACTGCGAGGATATACTGTCTTACTTCTCAAGGCAATTCAAGGCTCTACAGCGAGTGGTTATGTTCTGTATTTGGTTACTTCCAACTTCAGTACTGTTCACCCGTTTATCTGACATATTTTCGACTTCATGGAGCGTCATAGACGCAGACGCGGCTTCGACAGCTCGTTTGTTAGGGGCCTCCACAGATCCACGGAATGTGTCTTCTTCTATGGCATTTGGGTAGGGCTTTGTATACTGCTGACAACAACGCGGAGGACCCGAGTTATGGAGTGCCAAATTGGCTGGCGGCATTTGGGGCTGCAGTTTGATGTTATACTTAGGACTACCTAATCAAACCCTCTTTCATCTTTTGTTATTTCAGAAAAGTACATCCACTGATGCCTCTTTGACAGATGTGGTTGAAACCCTGCTAGAATTACTTCTTCACGAAGTCAACGAAGTTGCCTCCAATGAAAGTGCTAAAGACAAGGATTCCCAACTGGCTCATCTTCGTGGCCTCATTATGCGCCTCCTTGAAGATCCTAAGGTAGTTCGGTTTTCAACTTGTTATTAGGACTTGTCAGATCCATGCAATTATTTATGTGGATATATTATTCGCCTTATCGGTATGATACTATCTATTTTTGCTGTCTCCCATCTTCCTCCCCTACTTTTTACCCCACCCTCATATCAGTAGATGGTCTTTTTTAGCTTTCCGACTTTAAGAAGTGGGCTTAACCCAATTCAGAAGGTGAAGAAGCTTCGCTTGCGTGACGTTTTGAGCCGAACCGGTGGTAGCAAAGCTTGCTTCGCGATGGATGACCCATTGATAGATACATCGCCTGCCTGAAGACCTCTTCACAATAAAGTACCCTGGATCAGGGTGCTACTAACAAACTTAAGTAGTGTTTTTCGAATGACATGCGTCAAGTGGTTGACACCTATATTAACTGAGAAGGAAAAATCGTGGCATTTAGGACGCCAAGTAAATGAGAGCCAGGTGACGTTCACTAATAGATGACAGTAAGCCGGAAAAGCTATCAATTTGCCCTTTATTTTTTTCACGTGCCGCGAATTTTAGCTTGTGTCCTGACTGACCGATTTGTGACGAGAAATGCCTTTTGTGTTTTTGTATTTCAAGCCTCTTTGAGCAAACGAGCGCATTCGTAGCGGTTATTACCAAACGATCCATTATCTATCCCTTGCAGCGGTCTGTGCCTCCTGTGTGTGATTGTAGGCGGATAGAATTGTTTACTTAGTGTTTCTTACAATTAGGGGTGAGATCTCTCCCCCTGATACGGTACATTTCGAGCGTGTGTGAGAAAATCAGACTCCGCAGAAGCAGAACAGAATGGTAAATTAAAATCAGACCTCACTAGACTTCAGACTTTGGGATGGGAATGGGGAGAGAGAGAAATACTGCCTCGTCTTCCATAATCCTCGTGATGAATGTTATCTGTTTGCGTCATTGACAATTGACACTCGGACGTTCACTCGAAGAGGGGTAACAGAAACGGAAGCGGCAATAGTTAGTTTTACTTGGTCTCTAGGAATAAAACCATTTGCAAAAGCTAAATCCCTTGCTAAATTGTGCCTCGCCGGAGGAAAGTGTACTAATTGAACTTGCTCTAAAAAGCGTGTCAACTCAGCTCTTCAGTAAACACTTCTGTCTGTCTCCTTCTCATCCAGGAAGCAGCAGTCTGGAGTGGACGTTAAGCTGATTTTGTTTTTGACCCAGCTACAAATAAAAGGCGCTTTTGGATCAGTCCATTTTTGCTCCTTCTCTCCCCTTTCCTCCACTCCCCCCACTGATGTGCGAATGCATTCGCAATTATCCACTTTATTTTGTTTGAATGTTTGCACCTTTCTCCTCTCCTTTGATCCACATTAATGCCCTTTATCTCTATTGCGAAAACAGGAAATGTAGATTTATTGACACAGGAAGCGTTCGTTCGCCCACCACCTCTACCGCTCTCACCGCTATCACCTCGTACTATTGCGAAGTATCAGGCCGTTTTGGCATAAAATGCACGTTTTAATGGCTTTGTTAAGCTGAAGTGTTCTAAAGACCAGTACTTTTTGAAGCCCTCATTTTTAAACTCTCATCTGTTAAAGATAGCTGCTATCCACCTTTTGCATACCCAATTGACCAAAATGCGAGCAACTGGTGGTTTTCCGTGGATCTCATTTTACGTCCCCTTTATGAACTCCATTTTATTGCTCAAGACAGGGCGACGTTCCACACTGAGTGTGTTTTGTTATCTGTGGGGAAGTTTAGCCTCCTTCTGTGCTGTTTAAGCATGGTAATGCGATCAACGGCTTTAGGATCGTTGTTTATCCAGATTGGGTTTACTTACCAAAGTACGCAGCATTCACGTCCCCTATAGCCTACCCACAAAAGGGCAATTAAAAAAGGACTTTCACAGAATGCTGTGGTAACCGAAATCCTGGCGAATGCAGCACCCACGCATTTCCAGCAATATCTACCCACTAAAAAGGATTTTTTGTTCCTTCGAGTTAAGAATGTCAAATTGTGTCGTAGCCTTTTGCACTTGTGGGGCGGCGGACTTTCTCATGATATGTTTAGATGTGAACAAGCACTACTCCTCTTTTCACCATCGCCATTCCCCAACTTCTCGAGTACTTACTGAATAAACTTGACACATTCTATGTGAAAGGCGTCATTATTTGTTCTCGTGTCGTAGATTAGTTTTCTCTTTCTGGGCCAATTTGAACCCATGGATTAAGTTTGTTTCTATCCTCAAGATCTGTCATATCGTCATTCATTGGCGAAAACTCTGTTTACAAATAGTTATGCCACTCTCGCTCTCCGCTTCAGGTTACCTACGATGAGGGCAAAGCACTCATTCTGTGCAAACAACGGAACTTCCTTCCCGGTTGCCTGTACATTTGGATGAAGAACAAACTGTAGGTTTCATTACGTTCCCTGCTTTAGCTACTTTTAGTCACTGATGGAATGTCAAATCCAAGAGCATTTTTGGAACAATCAGGAATAGGGCTAGGCTATGTGAGAGGTCATCCTGTGAACTCTTGCCCCGGAATGGATGCTTTAGATTTGGGCGATATTTTTGAGCAGTGGATTCCCTGAAAAACTAGTTGTTCTAGTTGAGGAGTGCTTGAGGCAGACAATCTTCCACACGAAGAGGGCTGTATGGCGGGGATTTCTCAGAAGGGCAATTTGACTTATCATTGTGCATATCCTGAAACAAATTCCTGCAGTTTTAGCCATCCAGCATAGTCATTCTTCCATAAAGTTTAGTAGCCAGTCAACAAAATCAGGTTTGTTTTGCGCTGCTACTAATTCTTTGAAGATGTACTGAGTCATGCAAGTACGGAAGTAGACTTGATATCAAAGTGGGTAGGGGTTGGTGTGGTATCTATGGCGCCGGGAGAGCTGAAGATCTCATCTAGTTAATCATCAAAATGTCCTACGTATTGTCAATTTTAGGTACGATCAAATCATGGAGCACTACATCTTGGAGGACAACTTTGAGGCGATTTTGAAGGCTTGTGAAGAATACGGGTGGGTGTTAAGTGCTTCTAAGGGCTTTCTTTGTGTATGTAAACAGGATCGCTACATTTTCATCCACCGATCTGATCATTTTAGGGACGAGGTACCCTCCCTCTGGTTTGAGGCCTTCAAATATGCAGCAGATAAACCGCAACTTGGTGAAAAGCTGCCACGGCTTCTATCAGGTGGGTGGTCTTCCTTAATCATGGATGCCGCTTTTCTATCCTGGCTGCGTGAATGAGCATTGTCTTGATGGCTCTGACTACTGTCGAATAGTGCTATACTTACATCTCCATAGCTTGGTGTCCTGATTCCCACGTTTAATTCAGGAGTTGCAGTGAACTACTTGGAATCTCTCTTACCTCTCATCTTTGATATTTTCTTCTCTTTACTGAGTTTAAGGTGGGCTTCTTAAACTCCCTTTAAAGCTCACCTCTAACCGGCCTCCTCTAAGGTCATTAACGACGGCATTCCCTTGTCGCTATCATGGAAAGCGATGAGAAAGTTTATCCAACCACCTGATTTAAATGGCTCCCCTTATCAAAGGTCGTATGTCAATGCAGCGAACAGGTGGTGATTGCATGGAGGTTGGAGAGGTAACATCGAGTGGGATATGGAGAATGAAGCAGTATTTTTCGCTCCCTTTCCCCCTTGATTCCTCTCTCCCATCCTAAAGTGGGCCTTGAGATAAGGTTTTATCCTCTTAGTGGATAGGTCTCATCCTCAAATGTTTGACCTTCAGCAATTAAGCAAAGCCCTGTGAACAATGCCGTCTATAATCAGCCACACACGGCCGCACAGGAAGTAGTTTCCTGCTAATGAAGCGGTGTCTTAGAAGTGTTGGATCTACCAATGGTATGTTGGTTTGTCTTAAGAACAAGGTGTTCATCATTAAGAATTAATCAACAGACAGCCTAGAAAATGGGACTAAAAGAGCTGGAAAATAGGTTAACAGTCTTAGTGGAAGACTATTTTTACCAGGTAACTTTTAATGTCAAAGAATAGAGGATCTTTCTTATGCAGTGCATTTACTTTGGAGTTATTCACTGTGAGAATCTGGGTGGCCCTATCTACTGTTACACTTCTCAATACCTCTTTTCTCTACCTCAATTTGCAAAACCGGTCAGCCTGAACCACCCTCGAGCTGTACCGAAACCCGCACCACCTATTCTGATCATTTATGGAGGGAGATTTGTGGAAAAAAAGGCCAATCTTTTTCCCCTCCTTAATTAGGTGATTTGGTAATTAGCTCAACTTAATATTTGTTTATGTGGTAAATAAAAAAAGGTATTTTTCTTTTTTGATGCCCCACAATGACGGCTTATGGCACATCAATGCTGCTGACACACTGTCAATCACTTAACTGGATGAAGTTTTTCCCTCTTGTGATAAGTGTCATTTGTGAAATATTGATGGTTGATGACTTGGTGGGGAAGGAGGGAAGGGGAAAAGGCACAGAGAATGCTTTTTTTTCTCCTCTCTTGTCCAAAAGAGCTCCAAGATGGGATATACTCGAGGAAACATAAAAGGTAGACTCGTTTGCGTCCTCCCTGGTTTTCTCTGTGGTCGCTTTTCCGATTAGGCGATAATAAGGTGATCACATCCTCTGCATTCGGCTTGGTACTACTGAAGGTTGACTGTTTTGCCAATGAGCTCATAGAGTTAATGCTTAACACCCATTCCCTCCTCGGTGCCATCTTGTTCTCATCTCAATGCTGCCCCCTAGCTTCTCAAAACGTCCAAATCGAGATGTCAAAAGTTGATCTAATCTCGATAGCCCTCCTATTGTGTACCTTCTTCTATCACATTTGGTTGGGAGGTCACTGGGTAACGAAGTGAGAAAGTTTGTTCTCTTGGGTACCATTAAATGCGGTTCCGGAGTCATTTCGAGGAGTTGCAGAAAAGTCCAGAGGCTACAAGCATGATTAGGCCGCCAATCCTGAGTTGCTGATCGAGATCCTGGAAACCAAAGATCTCCTTCCTTATCTTCTTTTGAGCGCCCTTTTCATTAGTGCTCTAGCTATACATTAATTTTGGTTTTTCTACTCAATCTGGAAGACACCTGATCTCAATATCTCCTTCTTCAGCATCTGCGTTTGCGTCCCCTTTATGCATTACATTGAGGAGGGGAAGTTGGGTCTGCTCACCAATCTCGAAGGCCAGCGTATTTTACTTTTTTTTCCCACTTCACACGTCTTTTTTTTGCAGAAATTGAGTCTCGTAATTTGGCATCTCCATTGGTTGTTCTTCGGCTCCTGACGTCACCAGATGCCGACAAGTGCCACACTCTTGGTAGCGTCAAGGTAGCGTTTCTTTTTTTGTTTTTAAATCTCCTTACCACCCAAGCAACCACCATAAGGACCATCTGTTCAACTGTACTACTTGACTATTTTTTTGTAAAACGGGCGCTTTTTTATTACATGTCTTACAGATTATTTGACAGTTGTGCCTGCCTATAGTCTCTCCATCAGATAAAAGTTGTTGCGAAAGTACTGGGAGCATTCACGCCAGACCAGGCCTTTGGGTTTCATCAGTTCTGGACAAAGAACGTATCCAGCGTTTCACTGCTACCTTTCCACGAAGTAGCGTCCATTTTGATGTCACCGGTGGCGAAGGCTTCGGCTATATAGCGTATGCTAGCTTATCTCGATTGTCTGTGTTGAATTCACCTTTGTTCCTGTAGCGAGAGCTTCCATAAGACACCTAACTTTAGCCAAGCATTGCACAGCTTGACTTGTTTGCAGGACCAAATGATCTTCTGTAGACAAGACTGGGTAGTTGCACTCTTCCTCTGGAGGAAAAATTACTTGTTTTATCATGTCACACTGCTGTACACACCCACTTGTCGGTGGATGGGTTTGCGATGGCACTCAATGTTGGGTGTAGCACCACGATAACCGGATGCGAAGTCCCGGTCTGGTCTGAACGACCCCCGTATTTAGACACATCGCCTGAAATTGATAGTTAATTATTTACAAAAGCCATCAGACTTGCAAAGTCTCTAAAATAACACCCACCCGCCCGCACACACACACATACAACTCTTAACGGACGCTTAAAAAGAGGCTGTCAGAGTACACCGAAACTCCACTTTTTTGCCCATTAAAAATTGCAGTCATTAAGCTTTTCTGATCCAGTAATAATTTGTAGTCTACGTTTAAAAGTACTCATTACATCTTGCTCGGCTGTGTTGATTTGTAAATCAACCAAAAATATGTGTTTTACTGCCTTTCCTCTCCTCTCCTCTCCTTTCCACCCCTCCCCTTCCCCCTTCCTCCCCGCTCTCTATGTGTAGTCAAGTTGACGGCCGAAGGAGGATAAAAAATTGAGCAAACCCACTTATTGCTTCGATCATCTTCATCACGAACAACAAATTAACCCCTGTGTTGGCAGCTCTACTTTCGTTTCCACGTGTCAAAAATATCCCCCAAGTTAGTTTGCTAAAGAGGTATTACCAGTCATTTCTGGAAGTCCAGATGATTCAATCTCCTCTCATCACCAGGGCTATTTGAAAGAAGTGCTGATTTGGAGGAGTTGGTGCTGCCCACTCATCTACTGATGCAATTACGATAATTTTGCTGGCTGGATAGGGAAGGGGTTCAGTTTTTTGGTTTAATTTTTTGGAAAAAAAACAACTTGGCTGATTAGGATTGTTAGAGTAGAGCTAATTTACTCTTGTACTTATTGTCACATTTATTCTCTACACAAAAGGCCTACTTCTTGCACTACCTCGAGTCAGGCAAGGAGAAGGTGGAAGCAAATGAGGCAGAAATGCAGCGTCTGCGAGAGGAGACCTTACGAAACCGCGAAATTGCTCGACAAAGCAAAACCAGGTAGGCGTCTTACCGCCATTCCTCCTTTCCTAATCGACCAAATGGATAATTGGACCAGTCATTTATTGCTCAAATCTCCTATTTTTTGGAGACATTGTGGAGTTTATTTGCTACCTAATGGCATTGTAAAGTGTGCTGCCCTGGATATAATTTGCAAATGTACAGAAGAGCTGACTTGACGTGTCACTTAGTTCCATTCACTTTAAGGATTGTTCCTTTCACAGCAATTGGCGCCTTGGAAACAATCTACAAGTCAGAAACGCTGACTCTTTGTCAAGGCAAGAGTTCGTGTTTCGCAGTAAATTGCCTCGACAATGCTGACGAATCCCGGGATACGTTCTCTCTGTGAACTGTGTTGGGGCGAATCACTAGCTCAAGATGTGTTGACTAGTCACGATGACATTTTCCCTAAGCCAGACCTATGTAGTTGCATTACAGAGCCGCTCTTCAACATCCGTTCCCCTTCGTCACCCTCTTCTCGTTTCACTTACATCCAGCCGCTTGTCTGGACTCCGTTCAGCCAATAGGAACGTAAAGGGGGGGGGGTATCAACTTACTTCCCTGTAGGGCACGTTATTGGCTTGATTTCCCGGAAGTGGATGTGGCTTCAATATATCTTTTATTTTAAGTCTGTGTGGGTCCAACTCTCCATAGATTGCAACTTCCTGCTTTGGCGTTTAATTTTCGGCACCCGGATTTTTTTTGTTACGTTCCCTGTAGCTATCTGAGAGTGGCATGATCAAAATCTCATACCGCCAAGACGTGGCGGTTAAAACCTACAGAAACGGAAGGGCCTGCTTTCTTATTTTAAATTCAACCAATTAGTTTGCTGTACAAGTCGTTGCAATCAGTTATTAGAAAGTGGTGAAGAACACATGTCACATATTTGTGACGCTGGAGTAAGGTAAGAAACTGGGTGGAATGTGTTAGTCAACTAAAGAAGCAGTTGAGTTTTCCCATTCTTCTTGGCATTATCGTGCAGTGATATCGTCAAATATGGGTAAACGTGAGGGTTTTTTCCACACCATTAATCTAACTGTTATTGTTATCAACTAGTTGCCACATTGGTTGCTCTCGGTGCAGACGCATCAATCCTACTGCTGTTAACACTACTGTGACCTTGTAAACATTTGTGGATCGTCCATCAGTGGATTAAAGGACACCACAAAACCGGTCTTTTTAGGGAGTAGAGACGAAGGAGGGAGGGGAAAGGGGGACAGGACAATGAATAAATTATTTTTCTGGACTTACAAGCTTGGTGTCCACCATCACTAAGCAAAACAATTACTTCTAAGGGCGCAGAAAATACACTTTTATTTACATAATTAACTACCTACAAAACAACTTTGGCGGAGAATAATTTGTCAGTAGAACTGTACCATACTAGGAGCAGTCTGTGGAGAGCTGTCTTGAAAACAAGGATGCGTTGACCTTTCCGAATTGCAAATCCTCGTGCCTATGTCCTGTTGCTTCCACCCTTCTCACGGCATGTGTGCGGTCTACCAGTTCTTGTAACGGGACGCACACCTCGTGCCTGTACTCACCTCGATAGCACCCTTTTTTATTAAAAATTGGTAAGAAAAAAACCTTTAACAAGTTTTGTATTTACATTCCATTTCTCCTTCTTTTCGTCAGAGTGAAAATTTTCCAACAACAGAAGTGTGCCGTCTGTAACCAGGCGTTGGAGCCGCCATCAGTTCACTTCCTCTGTGATCATTCATACCATAAGTCGTGAGTCTGCTTATTCTTTTCTACGATGTTTTCACCAACTGGATTGTTTGAAGAGACCGGTGCTGGAAGTTCCATTTCAGCATCTGTCAGGGATAATTGTTGATGTGGGGGAAGACATCAAAGGAAGGATTAAAGTGTTCTAGCGCCAGAGGCATTTCTTGTCCCTTTCTTGCTTTGGGGGTGGTTCCCGACTCCTCTGCTTTCGTCGCCTCGACAGGGGCATGACAATAGTACAGCGGGTCTGGGTCATGTTAATGGAGTTGGTTGGAATTTCTGAATATTGTCAAGGAATCCGTCAGAAAGCATATTCCCTGTCCCACCCGCTGATCGAGTGACCGCTTGCTCAAAAGCCATGCGAGTTGAAAAGTGCTGGAGATGTCTGGGATCCCAAGAATTGTTTCTCTTTTGATCTCCCAGAAGTTTTTGGAACGCCCTAGGCCGACTCGAAACTCGCCCCTTCGCCCAGTTCCCCTAATTGGCCAATATCAAAATACCCTGCTTCTTCGGTAGTCGGATACTAGTCACGTAACTCATCCGCCGGTGGGCATACTGAGGTCCTTGTCTCTTTATTCATCCAACTGGATCCATGTCTTGGCACATCCCCTCTTTAGGCAATTGTAACTATTTCGTTTTTCCATTGGATGAAGTCTTCCACAGTCTATGGACTGGGGTCGCTAATGTGGCACACCTGTGTCATACCTCCACATTTACTGGGGCATAGCTAATCTAGAGGTGTCTTTTATTCCCTTTACAAAGGCCTTGGAAATTTCTTGACGCCATGATACCGATGTGACGGCCAACTTGTGAAGATTCCAGAGGCCATGCAGTTAAATGTCAAGTTAAAACAACTTTTATAATATATTTCTGCACTAACTAAATATCACATATGACATCTTTATTTCCCACCACCTTTCTAAGTGGTGAAATTCCCAATCTACGTGGAACCATCACCCAGCCTTTGGACATTGTTAGCCAATCTGGAGTTCTCATTAATCGACGCGTCTGTGTTGAAGTTACGCAGAATTTCAGAACCCTTTTTCTCATGCATTTTTGGGTCTTTTTAGGTGCTTCGATACCTACTCCTCCGATGATCAACTTTGTCCGGAGTGCGCGCCTCTTATTAGGTAAGTAGTGAAACCTCCGGTTAATTACCGCCTCCCTACTGCTTCACCACAAAGCAATTAGGTAGAGTTTTCGGTACAGCTCACTTCAATACCTTGTTCTCATTTGTAAGTGCTTGTGAAATATAGGCAAGTGGCTATATTCATGCATCATTAAGTGTAGATATACTGCATCAGTGCATCGACACAGTGTTCTCCTGTGGCCCCCTACTATCTCTCCATCCCAGAAAGTGTCAATGGGATTTAGTAGGTGGGATTCGGACTTGTCTTAGGCTAAGGCGAAGGTATGCTGGTGGAATATAGCATCTCGTTCAAGACGATTCTCTCCGCCCCCAAAATCCAGAACTATGTTGCAATTATTTGGATTAACTCCAAGATTAATATGTCAGAGTCATTGGAATCTCTTCTAACGGGAGAGGTAAAGTCGTGGTTGCTTTGTTTTTACTTCTTTCACTTGGGTTATGAAAAAAGCACCGTATAAGGCAAACCTTCTGTGAAACACCTAGGATAGGTAGGACTAGTGAATCAGCGCAAAGAAAGTCAACTCCAACTTCATCTCGGAGTAAAATTGGCCTTTGAGAAGGTGTCATAGGGCAGTTTAGGATGGCAGAGGTTCAACTGTTCTGTTGCGAATCCTCAAAGCCCCACCCATCTTTGGCAGTTGTCTTTCTTCTCCGATGTTTTTTTTGGTGTGGTGACCACCTAAAGAAGTCTGAAGTTTTGTCCATTCCAATCACTAAATGCATTGTTTGACTTGGCTCTAAAGCCTCATTGCTTTGCTCACACAAAGGCGACATGAGCCGAAGAGCTCTGTCAATTAAACTTCCCATTGGAGGAAATATCGTTCTGTTGTACAGCCAATAGGAATATTTTTCTCGTCATCGACTATGGCAGAATTTCCCTCGATCCGCATTTAATGTACCTGACACGAAGCTAGTAGATTGGCAACAAAAAACGAAGGCAGTCTCCTCCGCCTCTGTACTGAGTTCTGCCAATACGAAGGGATGGTTTATCAAGGCGCTGTCTGGAAGGCTATGTTGCAGACTAGAAGTACAAACCACAGAAGCCGATGTGCCTCATCTGCCAATTAGCCTTCGAAATTTAGCATTTTGTAATCAATCCCTGCTCCTACAAAAGGGACAAAAAAGAAGCGGAGGAGGGGGGAGGTGGAGGTTGGACCTACACCCCACGTGCATCCCTCTGCACAGCTGTCATTTTTCCATTCTACAAACATCTTAAATAGACGTGTAATGGTTTTGCAACACGTGTCTTTAACAAACAACCCTTAAGAGCAATTAATAATTTGACTTTAATTCTTCCCCCTTTTATTTATCAAATTAATTTAAATTTTTCCTGTATGCAACGTAGGAGGTGACACCTACTGGTATCTAAGCTGAATAATCAAGAAAAATAGGATCTGTGGAAAAAGGAGGATCTTTAGTGTACGACCAGGGTGCGGTATCCTTGTCCGGTATTTTTGATGGCCTTGGCCTTACCATGGTCATGACTCCACATTAAAGTGTCTTTGCCTAATGATGACCAAAAGTGCAAATGGGAAAATGTGCTAGAATGTCTGGGTCACTCCAATTCCCAGAAGAAACGTCTGGAGCGCCGAAATGGGGGAAAGCCATTTGGTTCTGTTGTGGAGGATCCATTACCCTGATATTGCTACCATTCCTCTAAGATGAGCGCATTTGATGTGGTGTAGAAATGTTTACTATTGTGAATGTCCTGCATCCATTCCCTCCTTTTTTCTGAGGTATGGAAGTGGGTGTAGATCCTCCCTAATGTATTAGCCCAGAATACGAGATTGTGGCAAATGATTGTCAAAAGTCGACGTGGCTTTGATAGCCCGTTCCGTTATTCAGCCACACTGTAGTAGATGCTTTCAGTGACGTTCGTTGCTGGGATTCGCTTACCGCTGTCGCAAATGTACTGCCTCCCCTTTTCCTCCCTCCTTCCCCCCACGCATGACTAGGCCACCGAACTGGTGCAAGAACCAAGGCAACAGATCCTGCCCATTTAGTTGCTTTTTTTGCTAGCTGAATTTCTCCTCCGTTAAAGAGATGCCGGACGTTTTTGGCCTCTACCAAAAAGAATACCTCTCTTTTAATTTGGCTAGCTCTTTGTTGAAAGAAAGATGTTACAGCAAAAACATGCCTACTAAAGTTGATATTTCATTTCCTTCTGCAGGTACTTAGTATTTATGCTTCCTCTCTTGACTTTTTTTCTCAACTCTTAATTAAGGCGAGGGGGTGGCGGGAGGGTGAAAGAAGCCAGCTAATTTTAACTTCACTAATTGTATGACCAACTTTGTAGGCAATTGCTGAGGTTGTCAGCCAAAACACATTTATGTACAGTGAAATTGACTCCATAATCCTCCCTGTGTTTGTCTGTCTAGATGAGCCTCAAAAATATCCGGTCCCTTTGCCTGCTTTTTAAGCGCTTCCGCCTTCCTGTCCTTTATCCTCCCTCTCCTCCTCCTTCCTTCTCTCTTGCCATTTTGTACTAAATTGTAGACGGGTTGTTAGGGTGTATAAGTACACTAGTCCTTCTGTTTGTATTTTAATCCACCAGGTAGGATTATTTATGCTTCTGCGTGTGTGTTTGTCTGGTGTTACACTACTACCCCTCTAATATGTAATCCGAAAGGGCAAATGCCAGGCAGTCATTAACCTCTGAATGATTAAACACCTCAAGTCTCCTCTTATAAAAAAAATGTTAAAGGATGACGTTGTTCTCGAAATGTCCTGTGAAAGGAGGTAGGGGGTATTGGAGAAGGAAGCATGCGACCAGAGGCACTCAAGAGTTGTACTTCACTGGTCTTATTCTTTCCAACAATCACTTTTTTTCGATAGAAAGTGGAGCATCGTGCTCTCCGATTGACACAGATTGTAGGTATTTCTTCAGGCTCGATTTCGATCTACTCAAAGGCGATCTCTCCCTCTCTCTCCAGTTGTGGCGATTCGGTAGTATTTACAAGTTTCCACCCATCCATGAAAGGTGTCCTCCTTCTGTAGTGCTGAGGCTTAACATCCAGTCATCCAATTTGAAACTTTGTTATCATCGAGACTCAATACGCTTACTTCCTACTTCAATTTAGCGCTTGGAGTCCTTTTTGAAGTCGGTATGGAAGAAGGAATAGGGGGGCGCTTGTACCGTCAAAGATTGGCAAGTCCGAATATTCACTAGCTCCCTCTTGTCATTAAGCTGGCTAGCGAACATCACAAAGGCTGGCAATCTCACATGGTAAATTGGCGTGTGGATGGACAGGCAAACTGGTACCTTCTCAGGTGTCATGGAATCAGATGTCTCTCTCTCTCCTCCTTTGAAAATTGTAGTTAATATTTCTGCCTCAGGCTAAAAACCACCCTAGAGGTCGTACTATGTTCTATGGGAGTACTCCATCAGGTAGATCTCAATGGCTCATCCATTCACTTCCACTCGACAAACTTCGTTGTAGGGATTCATTGTCTTTTCCTGTGTCAATCCCTGTCCCCATTTAGACGACATCACGAAGATTTGCTTGTCAGGAAATTCTGGTAACCTTTGTTGACACTCCCTGATTCCTGTGTCTAGTCGCTTATTGGTGTTAGCCACAGCTTCTTCGAACGTTATGAACGGTTCGCTTCGTGCTGAAATAACTCAAGGTGGGGAGTACCTTCTTCGGTTCCTCTGTTATGACCTCTGCCTTCTGTTAGGTTCGAGGTCACTTATGCGACGCAGTGTTTGGAATTAGGTTTACTGGAAGACCAGGAAGCTATTACCATCTTCAAGATGAGCAGTGTAACTGTCGGTCCGATAAGACGGGGAGGAGACGAGGTGAGAAGGGAAGCTAGCTGAGTCCTCTATGATTCCATGCCTCTCTCTTATGTTCTCATTCTGGGGGAGGGAGGTGAAGTGTTGTTCCCTTCCCTCCATTGGTGGAGTTATTCTATAGGAAAAAAAGAAGGGGGAACTTCGATTAGTCCTGGTTAAAGTAAACACTTCAAGGATAAGGCGGCCAGCCATTTTGTGCATTTCACTGCCCATTTCCACTCGTCTGTGAACAAATAAAATCGCCTTAGATGTGAATCTGCAAGAGCGCAGATGAATTCAGTATTTGAAGTTTCTTTGTCCCCTTCCTCCCCCAGCTCTTTTTTACTGCTTGAAGGAGGCAGAAGGGAGGAAAAACCCGACGTAATGTGGGTGTAGAGTTGATATTTACCCTCACACCATTGGTCCGGTTATAGAGAGTGGGGCTGATGGTGATGCTCTAAAAAGTCCATAAAACAGCCCATTTGCCATATCCGACTAAGACAGTTTAAAACATCTGCACAAATGTGTTTTTTTCTTGGTGTTGAATCGTGATGGAAGATGTAGAGTCAAGCATTCAGATGACCCAAAAAGTTTGTGCCATTTGAGCGTCATACCACGGCATGGACGTCGGTCTACTGCGACTGTGGAACTCGATGGTGTACAAGAAGAACTTTTCCAGTGGAATGGTAGTTCTATTCGTCCAAGAAAATGCTTGACCTCCCGATTCATGACCGGAGGACATCGTGAGAAGACTTTATAGGCCAAGTTAGGATCGGACAAAGAAGGAAATGTGCTAGCTAGGCAGCAGCCAGAAAGAAAACTAACCATCCTCAGCAGTCGAGTTTGTGCATTCCATTCGACAGATGTCTTCATTCCTCACTTGGAGGTTTAATTAATTACTTACCAAGGGGTTGACACTGTGATGTGTTCAGAGGCATTGGATATGACATCCTTGACCTTTTATTCGTCATCCGTGTGAAAATGCCTTTTTAGGCATGACATTCCTGATAAAAATGTCAAGTATGCTAAATTGTTTTATTTTTTTAAATACTTCCACATACACACACACCCTTCAACGACGTTTCAGCCTTCAGGTCACTTCCGTGGACTTGATAGACCTTGATGGTCTCAGTCCAGGAGGCCTGGGGACTAGGAGCCACCAAAGTGGTGGAAGAGCCACGAAGATTGCTAACCATGAGTGATCATCCTTGATGCTCTTTGTGGTCACTCTTCTGCTTTGGCCCCCATTAGACAAGAGTTAAGTGAATTGTAGGGCAGGAATTGACAATTCCGATGGATTGTTCACCCAGTCAGTAGGCCTATTAGAATCGTCTTCCCCGAGTCTTGTCTATCCTCTTTCGGCAGTCGCTCTCCGTTGTCATCTTTGTCCTTCTGTATTAGGTTCACCCTCCATCAACACCAATGTGACCCCTTCCTCGCCTTCCAATTCATCACAGAAAACAGGACGGGCCAGCGCAATCAACTGTTACTCTTTGACAGGTCATTTGTTTGTTTGTTTTTTGTAGACGCGGTTTGATGGAAGCCAGTAAAACAACTTCACAGTTGCCTACCATGGCTTCTGCCGATCTTTTGGCTGAGCTAGAACAATCACTCAGTTTGGAGAAGGTGAATCTCTCAACCACACTCAGCAAAGCGATTGCAAAAGGTGTTGCTTCTCAGCCGTCCTCTATTAGTGTCACCAAAATCGCTTCACAACCAGCGAAAACACTTCCATCCAAACCTTCGCTACCGAAAATACCTCCTAGTACTTCATCCAAGTGAGTCCTTCATCACAGTGAAGTTCTACTCTACTGCGAGAATGGAATGCTACAGTCCAGAATACGGGAGTAACAACAGGCTCACGTGCTACGGAACTGACCAATTCAACTATCGCATAAAGAACGTGCGTCACGTATATGTGACTCCGGTAGACCCGAGAAAACTTCCACAAAACTTTAAGATTGCAGGTCGTTTTCCTCCCCAGTTTTCACCATGAAGGCCCATTTTTTCCATCGAGATAGTTTGCCCCGCCTCTTACTTTGTCTCTCCACCAAACTATTTTGAAGGTGGCACAGACGTAAAGGCGATGGCTTCCAAACTATACCACACATACTAACAACTATCTCCGTTAACAATGCATGACAAGACCCAAATATGTCATTGACCTATTCAAAAGATGAGCCTGAACTGTAGGTGCTGCTCGGGGTGGGTGGACAATGTGAGCCATCGGAATAGGCATACCCCTTGTCACCAATGTCACCCCTGGGTGTGAGTCACCTGGGCCCACGGCTAGGCGACAAGTGAGGAGGAGGGGTGAGCGGTGGTTGAGGGCAAAGTGCTACGCAGTGGTTGAGTTATCGGCTCACTTTTGTCTTGCTCTCGGTACCCCTTGACAGTGTCGGAAGTTGTACGGCTTAAATAGATGGGCGGTCTATCATGTACCCAGTCACACTGGCATTGGTGGCATGGCTTCGTAGAGGAGGTACCTTCCAGACTCATGTGTTGAATGAGGTGTCTGGGGAGGGCCTAGACGCGTCAGTAACACGTAAATAACCAGAGTTCGTGTCCTGCAGATAATTAGCCTCCACAGCACCGCTTCTCACAGCCAAAAAGGGTATGCTTCCCCTCAGACGACATAGACACGAGTATTCGCATACATGAAAGGTGGCAGAGCCCACTTGAAACTTGGAATGTCTGGATGCATTCCCTATCTACGGTGTAATTTTGTCACCTGATTGGTTTGTTTGCCTTCCAGAACTTTATTTGATGACTTGCCTGCGGCAAAAGCCGTGTCGCTGGGTGATTCAGGTCGCGGTGAAAGTTTACCCAGTGGAGTGAAGCAGCCATCAGCGCCATCCGTCGGCTCCACCATCGATACCGGTGTTGTTTTGCCAACTAAGAAGGTCTCAAAAGTCGCCTTAAACCCTTTCGGAGAGGACGATGACGAGGTGGAGGCGGATACAGCAGGCAAGAGAGTGCCAGAAGTGACAGATGAACCAGTGGCTACTTATCCACAACACCTCAATCCCTTCTGATCTCTCATTACCTTTCCAATAGTGTGAAGTCTTTTCTTTTGTCATAGCTGATACCATGATTTTACAACAACGGCTTCAAAAAGATGGATAATTGCTGTCGATTTTTACATTTTCTTTAACAAGAAGACTATTTTTCCCCTGCTTTCATCTCACTTTGAGACTGCACTGCGAACTCGTCAAAGGTGACTTAGAATGGGTCTTTGACGGAGGGTGGGAGGGAGGTTCCCCTCTTTTCGACTAAACAAAAGACGTCGCTTTCGGTGAGGGATTGAAAAGTACTAACAATGACTTCAAAACTGAAATCCACTGTTGGCTGCTTCCCACGGTTGGACTCCTTGTTTGTTAGCCCCAACTTTCTTCTCTCTCAACAGCGGCTTTCGGTAATGTTTGACCTGAGTAATGTCATCCATATTAATTGAACAGTCCCACCCACGTGTCTATTGACTGGTAACAGTGAGCTTCAAAGCCTATCACTTTGTCATCATTTGGGATTGTTTTTGCCTCTGTGTGGTGTGGCAAGACTCTTCCCTAACCGTCTACCAACAACGGGTCGTATCTTTTTAGCCTCGAAGCTTAGGTTAGTCGCTTTCTGCCCCTTTAATAGGAGAGGGTGTCTTGTTTTAGTTGCAGCCCCGTGGCTTGGCAGTTTTTCAAACTGCCAGATTGCGGGTCTGCGCAAATCAAGTCACCCGCTTTACTGAATCACTTCAAAATGTCAACGCGGTTCATTTTCGCCGATTTGGAGATCCACAGTAGATGCTCCCCTTCTGTTGCCTCAAAGAGTGACATTGAGGCGATGATCTCACCCAGTAAGGTGAGTGGAAAGCAGCGGCGGAGAGAGGGCTCTCTGTCATGAGTATAGAGAAGACGCGATAACCTCTTAAAGTGAAACTGAAACCACGGAGACTAGTTTTCTCCCCCCTACCAACCTTCGCTACCAACGCCGCCGTCTACTTTGACGCGCACTGTCCATTATCATTTCACCCAGTCAATTAACTCTGTTTCCCATAAAGAGCGTGATGGATAGTACCAATTACTAGAAAGTTGCTTTTTTTCCCGAAAATCCATGCCAAATATTTCCTAATTCTTAAAAGATTTGAAGGCTTTTTTGGAGGAATTTTTCTGGTTCAAAGATATAAAATATTAAAAAGTGGCAAGCAAATGACATTTTTGAATAGCTTAAGTGTACACTTTTTAGTTGAGAGTGAAAAAAAAGTAGAGTTGAATTTGTTCATTTCAATGCCAAAAAATTAAGTACTTTCATGGGCAATAGAATCTGTAAATTGTTGATTAATCCAAAACAGCTTAAGGGAAAAAATCCTATACTACTTATGATAAGGTCTATACTACTGAAATAGCTAGATGAAGTTTGCCAAAGACGCTTTACTGCGTGGAGTTCGTCCACCCTTCAATTGCCATCAGTTTGCCATCGTCTGCTCAAGCCACATCCTAGTAATCCCCTTCCCCCGCCCTTTCAACAGACATATCCTAGACGTCTAGCCAAAACTGGGGACGAGAGGGGAGGAGGGGGAAGGAAGAGTGGACGGTTGGACGAAAGGATGGAAGGAGTGAACTCAAGAGGTGTCAAAAAATCTGTCGTTTAACTGGATTTCAGTGGATTTCACCGTTCGGATATTTTACAGCTTGCAGAACCTCCTTAACCACATTCTACGCACTCTTAAGGGGAAGTCAATTTCAAAAAAATATTCTTATTTTTTTTTTGAGAAAAAGACCAACTGCTCTATGACTTATTTATTTCCAAGTGCTTATGACTTTTTGACAGCCGAACGATCATTTGCTCGGTTGGCAGTTGACGTTGGCACTAAATAGGTGCATTCCGTTGGTTAATAAGTGAAAATTTACCCCACTTTTCCCCTTCCGGATGGAAGTTGTGAGTGTTCCAGGAAATGCAGGGGAAGGCGATTCGGGGTCTTGTGTAGACGACTAACACTACCCTACACATCCTGCAGTGTCATACGTGTCACTGTCAGACTGTCAAGGCTAACATGTTCTTGTGGTTCTAATGGCCCCTCCGAGAACCCAAGCAACTTCCAATGTTTTGTGGCCACCTCATCTGGATATGACGCTAATTGGTTCAGCAGGTTGACATTAGTTGTCAAAAAATGCGTCACCGCACTTTTTTGACAGGCGCTTCATTGGCTCGTTGTCAATCCGGCTTCGGTCTATTGATACGGTACAGCTGTCACCAGAAGACAAACCCTTGAGAGGGTGGTATTGCTGTCACCTTGTCAGCCTCAGCATTCGTTTTTTCCCTGGGGCATTTCCGCAAGCTTCAAGTGACTATCACCCTTTCCTGACACCATCAGACAGCGGACAGCTAAGAAAGGGAAGTGGGAGGCAAATGGACCACGCTACACCTGACCCATCCCGGTGCTACTGTTGTCTGCAATTCCACCAGACTTAATCCCGAAAATTTTCCTTTTTTTTCCACTGAAACTTTCGTTCTCGTCCAGCTCTCCTGATTGGCTAGCAAGATAATCAAAGAATGTTGGATTGGAACCAGTTTGTGGCCTCGGTAGTCATTTTGCGGTCATGTGACTCACCCACTGTACCTCCCACCCCTTCCGCCTAGGTTACTCAAACCGGTCTTTCTGCCCATAGAGGTTAAGAACCCGACACGATACAAACTGCTGGTAGTCTGCAACAGGTCATGGTTGGTTTTGGAGTCGGGGTGACTAGGGCTAGGGTCGTTTCCTTCTAATCAGAAGCCCCTCCAGACCTTCTCTGCAAATCTCTCGTATTCAAGAAGGAATCAGACATTTGTGGCGACTATCAGCCTTCTCAAAGCAAAATCTTCCCATCCGAACCAAAGTGACAACTACCTAGTGACGTTGATTTGACTACCTTTAAAAAAGCAAAAAAAAATTGAACTGTTTTAATGCATTATTTGGAGAAAAAAGGTGTCACATTTGAGAGCTGTAACATTTTGCGTGACAAGGGAGGCAAGTAAGCGAGGTTGATGTCGGGGAGGTTGAAAAGATCCGCCAAATCATGACCTATCTGGGCAAGGGAGGGGAGGAGAGGGGAGGGGAAAGAACCTTAGCCAAAAGGTGCCCTAGAACTTGAGATCAGGCCATCCACCCCAGGATTGGACATTTTTCTCCCTTAAAGTTTATCCACGTCTCCCATGTGATCTCCCAATAATCCCCCCTTCCACACCATGGCCTCTTTTAAGGAATGACCTTGAAAAGGTCAAATGTTCCTCTCTATTTTGCCACGCTTAAAATGGCGATACTTTTTTAAAAAAATAAATTTTAACAACTGACAAGATTACTCATGCACTGTCACCTTAATGTCCTCACAACAAATTCCATTAACACTGGATAGGAGACCTCTCACCTGTCGCCAAACCGCACAACTCCCTTGCACCCCCCAACCCCTCTTTTTACCCCTTCCCCTTGTTGAAGTTGTTTGGTCATTTTATTACGAAAAAATAAAGTGGTAAAGTGGTCCGGAAGGGATAAAAAAGAGGGGGTAGTTGGGTAAATTTTTTCCTTGTCTTCAAAAAGCTGTGACTGTGACATGTGCTTAAGGCGGTCAAACTTATTGATCCGCCCATCAATCGATTGTGTCATTACTGCCACTGTCGCCACCGTGTTAAAGTCATGGTAAGTTCGTTTTATTTTTTGTTTATTTTTTAGGAATATGTGTTTTTTTTTTTATAAAAAATATACAACATTTTAGAGGGAGGTAATCTCTATCCACGTTGGTCAATGTGGCGTACAAATTGGGAATGCGGTTTGGGAGCTCTACTGTGCCGAGCACGCAGTCTCCAACGAGGGCTCCTTGTTTGAGCAGCCTCATGAATTGGAGTGGGTGGAGACCTTCTTCAACATCTCCGAACAAGGTCGCTATGTTCCACGATGCCTGTTCGTAGATCTCGAGGCCTCAGTTATCGGTTAGTTGGCATATTCCTTAGGTCCTTTCAAGGAACCTTGCCAAGAGTAACTCGTTTCCATTTTTTTCCCTCCTCCTCTTTTCTCCAGATGAAGTTCGAGTTGGTCCTTGGCGTAAACTCTTCCATCCGGATAAGTTAATTACGGGATACGAGGATGCCTCCAACAACTTTGCTCGTGGATACTTCACCATCGGAAAGGTGCTGCTCTCTCCAGTCCTGAATGAAGTTAGACGTACCATTGAACAGTGTGACAGTCTTCAAGGCATTCTCTTTTTCCGCAGTCTTGGGGGTGGTACAGGGGCCGGTTTGACTGCAGCTCTGTTGGATGTTCTTGGAGACTATCGAAAGTACACTAAAGTGGAAATACCTATCTATCCATCACCTTCTCTGTCCACGGCTTTGATTGAACCCTACAACTGCCTTTTGGGCGAACATTTCACCATGGAGGACTTCAACATTGGCCTTCTTATGGACAATGAGGCTATGTACGATGTGTGCTCCCGCTTCCTCTCGTCCAGCTACACCACCTATACAAAGATCAACCGACTGGCTGCTATTGTCTGTAGTGCGGTTACTGCTTCTCTACGTTTCAAGAATGTTCTCACTTCGGATCTCAATGTGATGCAGACCAATCTCATCCCCTATCCACGCATTCACTTTCCTTTGGCCAATTTCGCACCTATCCAATCAACCGAGAAAACCGCCTATGAGCCCTCCAAGGTGGTGGAGATAACTCGTGCTGTATTTGAACGGGAGAACCAGTTGATAAAGATTGATCCCACCTATGGGAAATTTATGTCCTGCACGCTGCTATATCGAGGCAATGTCAGTCCTGGACAAGTTTATGTAGCTCTAGCAGAGATGAAAAGTTGTCGAGGCTTGGAATTTGTGGATTGGTGTCCTACTGGTTTTAAGGTGAGCATTACAAGTGAGACTCCGGTTACTCGATGTGACAGTGGAATTGGTCAAACCAGTCGAAATGTTGTTATGTTGGCCAATAATTCGGCTGTTGGACAAGCATGGCAACGGATAGTGCATAAATACTATATGCTCTACTCCAAACGCGCCTTTGTCCACTGGTATGTGGGTGAGGGTATGGAGGAGGATGAATTCAATGAAGCCCTTGTCAACATGACCTCCTTGGTACGAGACTACGAGGAGGTGGCAAGAGACTCTGCCGACACTCAAGTGTGCTAACAAAGAAAAAGAAGGAGAGAAAAAATATAAAAAGAAAGCAAAAGAAAATCCACCTTTCTGTCCTGTTCTTTATTTGTCTCCTCTTTTGCCTACTCACTTGTCAATGGAAAAAAAGGAAAGGCGAATGTTTGGCCAATATTGAAAAAGGCAACTCTACATAACCCCCCTGTGCCCCTCTCACCCCTCCTGCCTGCATACCTACCTACCTCCCTCCCCCACCCCCTCCCTAACCCCTTTTCTGGCGTTTAAGCGCTCGCGATAGCTATGTATGCTTCGCTTTTATGTTCCATTTGGTCAACATAAAATTGACTTATATGCGCTTCATGAACAATAAACATCCCTTTTTCCTTCTCCATCAGTTGGGTGCTCCAAACTCCACGATGCCTCCTGAGAGGGACAAACTGACAGACAGACAGAGAAAGCCTTAGACTCCAAAAACTGCCACCGATGCTTAGAGGTATGTAGTTACCTTTGTTTTTATCTCAAGTCCACTTCTCAGCTATTTGCAACAGTCTTCCACACATAGGAGGACTATCGTCAGCAGAACACGAAAGATACGCAGGTTGAGGGTGCATATCAAGGCAGCTTATCCTTCCACCACCGGTTACTCCAAATTGCTCTTTCAGAGTAGTAGTAGTAATGACTTACTGCAGATCTGTAGCATTCTAGGTAGCTACACAGGGGCCAGGAGTCCTCGAGTGCCACAAACAGCTGCATCGTGCTCATAACAGTTGCAAAAGCTCAGTGGCTTAAGACCAGAGTCAAATGCTGAGCATAGACTAACTAATTGGGCACATTGTGGGAGAAGTAGTGAATCAAGGAGCAGCTTACATTCAGCCAGGGTACTCGCAGTGACCTTTACACGTCTTTCACTGACGTCACACATGTGTGACGTATGGAAGATCTGCGAGATTCAAATAAAAAACTAGTTCTCTGATGTTGTCAACTAAATACATCACTCATGAACGTCACAGAAATGGAATAAACCACAGCTGTGGATGCTCAAAATTGAGATGACTCACAACAATTTAACAGCAGAGATTTCTTGCCCACTTTTCTCAACCTCAACTCTGGCGCAATAGCCAATCACTGAGGGCGATATCAAGTTTTAATGACTTTTTTACAACTCTGCTATAAATACAGCGCATTTTCGGATAAAACGGGTAAGCGTTGCGGAGACCTGATTGTCACGCGGTATATACTCTCTGCTAAAAGAGCACCGCAAAATATTTAGTCGCTATCAAAAAATAACGACTTTCCCAATATTTTAGGAATCCACAGCTGGTACTGCTACTAATAATCTTCTCCCACTTATTAAGGGATGGAAGCCCGATTTGGTAGACACTAGGATGCCATGAGCAGATTCTATCCACCAGGACATTTAACGATGGCGCATGGGTTCATGGACAAACAAATTAATCCAAACTGTGAGGCGCGATCTCAACATTTATAAGTGCGAGATATTAGCAGGTTATTGGTTCCAACTTACATAAATTGGCAGTAAATAATGCAATTTGATGCCTGGGTAATCCTGTGCCAAACCAACCAATCAGAAAACGATAAATTGCAAACACATTAACAACCCATTTGCTCACTAGTCTGATGAATTATTTTGCGCAAATTTTTGTACTGATTTGTAAAAGGAAAGGAGAAGAAGGGTTTGTTTTCATCGCGAAAGTGTGTAAACATTTATTATGAAGCCATAGCGGTTAGGTAGTATTCCAGATTATGCCACAGAGGTTTTTGTCGTATTGGCATTGAATAGCCAGAATGAGGAGCACGTAAATTCCTGACTAAACTATCAAATTGCAGAAAAAATGAAAAAAAATTCTTGTATTTAATCCTTCCTAAAATGGTTGTTTTTTGCCTAGTCTGTGGATTTGTAGTCGTCTGTCCAGACCAGGTGTTTTCCTTTTTTCTAAGTAATAAGTTAAATTTGTCGCAATTTTTAAAAAAAATAAATTTAAAAGGTGAAGTGGGACAGCAGGCTCTTATAATGAGAGAAGAAATCTCCTTTTTATCCAATTCGTTTTTTTTATTTGCTTACGTGATACGCCATAGAAACCACTTCTCCGTGGGATTAAATTTGCCTGACTAGAAGTGAGAGGGGAAAAAGTGGACAAATGAATGAATGGTAGAAAATGAATAAAAATAGGAGAAAACCATAAAGAACTACCTGACACATACTTATCCAAGCACATGAAGTTTAGATGGAGGAAAAAGCAGGTACATTTTGAAATCTCTATGTTCTTCTTTTGGAGGAGAATAAAAATTTAACACTTTAATGATAGTTAAGGAGGGAGTTGACAGTGGCCTGATAGGCGAGGCAGTGAATAAAAGATATGTTCTCCTACGTTCTATTTAGTAGTTAATAAAAAATGTGGCTTTCTTTGGGTGGTTAATCTGGGTGCACAAATCGCACATCGCTTGTCCCAAAAACTGGCAAGTGAGAAGCTCCCATAAGCGATTTAAAGATGAGGAAATGGGATAGACACCACCTCACCCTCATCCTTCTCACTACGTTGGCGACAGAAGCTGAATCTCACCTGCACTCGTTTTGTTTTGTCTCGCCCCGATCCTTACTGCTGCGATTTGACCCCGCGGGGCGGTTGATGATGGAAAGGGGAGGAGGTTGGGGTTGGTGTCTCATGCCCCACTTCTTCCTTATGCTTTTGATGACATCCTTCCAACCATTAAATGAACACCACCTGCTCCTGGTGGCATAAACTAATCATACTATCCCATGGGGAGTTAATAATAGACAACAAGGAAATTAACGATAGGGGAAAGCGAAGGCTAGCATTTCCGGATTATCTATCTCCATGGCTAATTGTCTTTACAAACTAGCCTCTATTGGTAACAAAACCAACGTCTTGGAGACAATTAGAACCTACATTTATGTGCAAGGATTTATGAAAAAAAAAACCAAAATTTCCCTACTTTATCGCTTTGAACCATTGTCTCTTCTACTCACTACCTTTTCAGTAGCAACGACGAACCATGTGGTATAGAACCTTATATCTGTAACCTACTGAGAACAACATTAACGCCTTTTAGTTTACCTCATAAATATCCGAAAGGAAGGGGACTATTCCCTCATCTTTCCCCCATTCAATGTGACAGTTGGATCAACCGGGGGTCTTCAATCACCCCCTCCCTCTACAATGTAACGAAACTTCTTCCCCTAAAACTATGAAATAATGAACCAAAAAGATTCCTACACCCTTGTGGGAAAGGTCTCCTACTCCTAATGCAGTATGGTCTAGGCCAGTGACAAAAGAAGAAATGGAAACCCTCCCGCCTTGAATTTTAACTCATCACATAATTTCACGACATCCGAATTTTCTAAAAAGAATACCTTTTACAAATACGAGAAATCAGTAGAAACTACAGTCCACATTAAATTATTATTTTAATATTTTTAAGATGAAAACTAAAACAAGAGATTAGGTAATTGGTTAGAAATTAAATGTAGTCTGGGATAAAATTGTACCGGATTCGTGGCAGATAGAAAAAAACTAACCGAGTAACTTTCCCTGTCCCATTTTGCTTAAAAATAACCTTCTTTGTAATGCTCAAATTTGCATCCTGTGGTCCGTCAATTCCTTACAAAAAAAATGAAAAAAGGAAGACAGATTTGACTTCGGGGGGAAATAATTTAGTTGGAGCATGCCTCCACTTTTCTTCCCCTCTGTTTTTCCCACTATTTACTGTCAATTTTACATGGGATCATGTGATGGTGTATGGCTAATGCCCCAAAACATGTGGCGATCACCTCGAAGGTGGGGAGGGAAGAAGAAATGCCAGCAGGGCAATGTGAGGAGTGCGAAAGATGAGGCTTATTAAGAAACGGTATCTCCCCCCCTGTGTGTGACTCTTCGCCCAAATAAAACAGTTGGGAAACCATTTCTGGATGCTGCGTTCTTGCGTTTGGCGTCGTAGCCTCTCGAAATGTCAAATAGCAGATGCGGCGAGAAGACCACCCATATTTGCAATCGAGATGTCTTTCATTCGTCAAGCGGATCGGTTTGAATCAACCACCAGGTTGAAAAAGACTTTATTCCCCTTGTGGCAATCCCAATGTGGACAGTAAAGAGTACCCTGGCAACAAATTAATGGATCATACCGTTTAAACAACAAGTAGCTGGTTCACGAATTCTTGAACAAATTTATAGGGTGTGGACACTAATTGCCCAGTAAAAGGACCAAAATTTGCTATAATAGTAGGCTTGACTACGGAAACGGTTTAGTAGTCATGGTGTTCAGGCGCCACCGTGTTACCTCCCCTCTGTTCTGCAAAGTCTCCTAGCCCCCACTCCCCTGTTTAGTGAGGATCAAATGGCTAAATTTTCTACAGCCACTTATAAAATAAACAATTTTTCAATCCGAAAACTGCAAATTGCACTGACGCGATGGCATGCTGTTTATCAACGTAAATAAATGGTGGAGACGGAGTAATTTAGGAGCCGTATATTTAAGTTAATGTCTCCAAAACTCACCAAAACGTCTGGAATAACAAAGCACAATGCCGATTAGGTAGCTACAGCATTAACCATCAAGTACGCACATAATGTATAAACACATAAAAAGCCCTGGAGCTTCTGTTGACAGACCAAATAATTTTTTTAAAAGGCCCTAAACATCATTAATGTCATTGAAGAAGGGCTACCGAAAACTATAGCCACAATAATGTAAAAATGGGTTGTTTGAAAGGCAAACCAATAAAGCTTAATAATTCCAAATCGTCTGACCCATTTCGACAAAAAATTTGAATGTTTACACATTACATACATAAATAAATTGGTTCCAATGCCAAATTAAAAAAAGAAGACGTCTTTTGGTTCCATGATTAGCGTGACAATTTCTTTTCTAAACTACAATAATCATTGCTAATCTAACCAACCACAGCGTCTCACAAACAGAACACAAATTTTTTTTTCACTTGTTTTAACTTGCGTAACCAACTGTAAATAGTTTCAAGGTCAGCAGAGAGTTTCCACGAAGTCTTCGCCTCAATTTTTACTTGCTTCTTGTATCTTTCTTCCTTATTTTTTAATAATACATTTAATGAAAGGAAGACTTGGAGTAAATCTACAATATTTCACTATTTTAGGTGGCATAATTTGTGTCTTTCTAAGGTTATTCTCTTTTACTTTTAAAATAAGTATCCAATGGGGCATAATTGACTTAAAATGGTTTTTTTGTGCACTTCATCAAATTATATAATAAAAAGCAAAGAACCATCAAAAAGATATCAAAGGGAGATTTAATATTTCGGTGAATTGTTTTTGAATCTACTTATGTGGTTTCAAATTAAGACAAAATGTCCCAGTACTACGATAACTGGTTAAATTGGTTGCCATGGTGATCACACAAGCCTTAACATGCCTCCACATAATGAGGGGGTAAGGAAATTGGGTGACGCACTTTGTAGTCCTTTCTAGCACAATGATGAATGTGCCTACGCCTCCCCCTCTCCTCTCCCCCTCCATTTCCCCGAGTGATTTCAAGAGTGTGAGATGAAGCGGACAGATCTTATCAGGCAGGTCTTCCCCATCTTGGAGTCGTGCACATAATGCCCCCATCCCACCCCATCAATGACACTATCGCCACCGTAAGACGCCTCGAAGACCCCTGAAACATCGGGGAGATGCAACCGATGAAGGTGGTGGCAAATACAATATCAGTATTCCTTTTACACAAGGATAGAATACTCTTCTTTCCCAATGTGAACAAATTTTGGGACCGGCTTGATCATAAAACTGAGTATTTCCTTCACAATAAATTGAATTGCTTGGAGGGGTAGGCGGGGGGCTGAACAAAAAGCCACTTGCCAGCCCAAGAATGTAATCCAGTCAGGAGGTAAAACATTTACTAAATTATAAACAGGGAAAAGAAAGTAAAATGTTTGAGCTCAATAATTGTTGCCAGATTCTCAAACGCCTGCGCTTTGGCAGTGTCAGGCACGCAAGACTGGTGGTGGCACTCTTTTAGGCGAGGCGATAAGTAAGCAAATTTCGCCTGTCGGTAAATTATATGCGTGTTAACCCATTTGGACAAAATGGACTACGTAATGGACAGCTGGGGGGGTGGAGGGGGGGGACCCTACCGCTTTTTGATTGGCCGTCACAGCAATAGCAACGTTAATACGATCAACCCGGGGGATTTAAAATGACAGATTGAATTTCTTTTTTTTCTAAAAAGGAAGGAGAATCGAGGGAGGTATGTTCTAAATCAACTAGAATCAAGGCTACATCTTTTTTCCCACAAATAAATTTTGTTTATATTGACAGGGAAGCGATAGGTAAACATTTGGTCCTGTCTAACCCGCGCTCTTTTCATTGGGGGGCAGAATTTTAACAAAATAGCTCAAAATGGGTATTTTTAGTCAGAATTTATAACTTTCATGTTCAGTGCATAGCAAGGAGCTGTTTTCCTCGAAAATGATTAATTAGGGAAGGTGGAGTTTTCTTTTTCCCTTTCTCTCACTTCCTGTTTCCTAAAGGAGAGAAATTCTCCTCGTTGATCTTTTGAAACGATCAATTTAACAATAGTAGACTAAAAGTTACTTCTTTCCTACAGGCACTGTCAGTAATTTTTAGGGAATATTGTTAAAATTGGTGGAGGTGAAAAGTCTCCTGATCCCACACTGGTTGTGGCTCAAGGCACTCCATCTGGCGGTTGTTTTAAAACACCGGTGGATTCATTATCGGAAAGGCACTAACCCAGTCGACTCTAAGTTTTTAAGGGACTGTCTGGGATAACTCTATGCAATTTATTGTCTGTGTGGCAATATGAATTAGCCGGTTGACGCAGTAACCTTAACATTCCCGTCGCGCACCTCCCCGAGTCCAATGGATGATTTTAGGTAGTCGGCTCTACAGCCGATGGGTTGGAGAACCACCTCGCCTCATTTGGTTCTTTTTGACATTCAAAGAAGGTGCAGCAGCAGAAAGCCCATCAAGAAGTGGTTTAAAAGAGGAAGCAAGTAGATGTAAGTGATGGATCACCTCAAGATGGATGCACTCCTTTTGCAGGTGAGTCGTCTCACCTTCAGGAGAGAAGACATTGTGATTAATTTGTCAATTGAAAATGGGGAGGAAAAAATTTCCCCTTTGTGTTTAACGTGACAAAGGGAATAAATTATTTGGCTCCACAGTAAATGGAGAAGTTATAGAAGCACTTTAAATAGAAGGATGCCATTTGCAGGCATTACCAAATGGGCATCACTTCTAAAGTACTTTGGACTGTTTGCTATCTGGCTGGCTCTCCGGCTAAATGACTGAGAGGTGATAGACGCGTCTACGGATTCCAAATCCTTGGTACGCGCCTTTCATCTCCGCTTTATTTCTAGACATTCAACCTTCCTATGTGGGCAGTTCTGTGATAAATTGTTTACCAGTTAGGTCAAGGCCAAACAACAGGAAGTTGTGAAAGGTAAACTTCACCCTTGCAGGTAGCTAGAATTAAAGAAGGAGACGCAAGACTCCTCATATCTTAAACTGACATGTAAGAAGATCTTGTCGTACTTTAGGATGGGATAGGGTGGAATGGAAGAAGAAGAGGAGGAGGAGGAGGAGGA